GTATTGGGGGATTTTTAGGTACGGGAAACCCGAATCTGTTATTTATTTTGCAATAAAATTAAGTTTCGACCCATTTTCTATTCAAAAATTTGATTTTTTCCATTTCTTGCTACTTCAGGAAATGTTTGTACTCAAAATATTTCAAGATATGATTTTATGTCAAAATAAATATCAGATTCGGTTCTCTCGTACCCAAAAACCCCCCAATACCAGTTTTCATACCGATCGAATGAAAAAAATCGAAACTCCAAAATGTCACTCCAAGGGGTAGGTTCGAAGCCGATTATCTTGTGAACTTCGAATTGATCGGTCAAAACCGTTGGCACCATTGGATTCCTTGGGTCCGAATTATGTAAGATCGGTGGTAAAACCAAACAATCAGCGCAAAAAACTTGCCCAGAAAAGTTGATTTAAAAAAATGAAAAAAAAATTCGGTCGCTCCACTTCGGACCGTTAAAATTTTTTGACACACCCACATAAATTTGGAATCTAAAAATGTGCATACCGGACCAAAATTGAATGCTCTTTCGATTTCTGGCATAAAAAAGATAGGTTTATCACATGTTTTTTCGAGATAAATTACGATTTTCCTCGATTTTCGATGATTTTTTTCACTTTTGGTCAACCCACTTTGACCGTCTCCACTGAAACTTTTTTTGAATTTTTTTTGTGGTATTCCTAAGAGGGCCGAGAGATCTTTCGAACAAGACAATAATGAAAAATTGCTTTTGAAAAACACCGCTGTGGTGACCGTCCGTGGAAATGAATCAGAGCACAGAAAATTATGACCCTAAGGGGCCGAGGACTGTAACCCCACCAAAACAGCCGATTTGGGAAAAGTGCTCTTACACTTTTTTACTCCTCTTGAGCTGACAAATCTGTGGTAGAGAGATTAGCATGGATCTGTGAAACACCCTGTATAGTTTCAAAAAGTATTGAGCAAACAAACGATTTTTCTGCTCATGAACTTAAATGTCGTTTATTTTACGTTTGCGAGCGTCTGTGTAATGGTTGTTTCAAAAGCTGTTGCAACTCTTTTGCCCGAATTTTTGTTCGAGCCAAAAAAAGAACGTATTATCCGCAAAGTTTCTGTGTTATTCGATCAGTTCAAAAACAAAAGTCCATTTAATTGAGATAAAAATGTAACCTCATGTTTTGTGGTTGTACTTACCATTTGGAAGATTTTCAAACTTTCTGGTCCAGGTTATGTTTGGAGATGGGTTTCCTATTCGGAAGAGAAAAAAGGGGAATACAAATGCGATGAGAATTGAGTTGGATAAATATCGAGTCATGAAGTTGAACAAATAACCGAAAAAGGGAATGTGTAACAATTACCTGATGCTGAACACTCAATTCGTACTGATTCTCCTTTCTTTACTTGTCGGTGTCCGCCCGAACTGACATGATGAATTCTTGGTGGCACTGTAAAAAAAGAACAAATGGACAACATATAGTCGATTGGGAAAAATAACATTCAAAAGAAGGGTTTTTTCTTTGTGTTAGAAGGTGTATCTCATTTTCAATGGAACATTAAAAGTTGGCGCTAAAAGTGAGAAATAATGATTTTTGTTCCATAGACTAATGTAAAATAACATTTTGAATAATCAGTTTGGCAAAAAGTTGGTAGTGAAAGTGTGGCGTTTTGTGTTTTCACATAAAAACCAACAAACCGAAATGGAAATCAATGCAATAATGGAAAACGTAGTTTTATAGCAAGTTTGACATTTTAAGTGGATATAAAATGTTGGAATTTTACGCGTTCGTGTTTTCAATTCATTTTATATCATTTGAAATGTGCTTAACACAAGAGATTAAACACTTCAGATTTGTTGTGTGTAGCAATTTCTCTCTCGACACTCTGATTAAGCACAACAAGTGAAAATGAAAATGGCCAAAATGATGCTCTAGCACGAAGATAAAAAACGCTAATCATAAAAAACGACCGTACCCAAACAATAATAATAAAGAGAAAGAAATATATTGGTGTTAGAAAAGCAATGTTTTTCCCTATGAAAACCCAGCACATTTGCTTTGCGTTTGTGGCATAAATTCATATTTTTATGGACATCATCAAAAATGTTTCGGGCGTATGCATTTGTACGGGAATTGCTTAACAACAAAAGCATAATATAAAAAAAAGATGAACTTGTTTATAATTTTTGAATGAATGTGCTTTCGAAAATTTATGATCGATCCGAATGAGAAGCGAACAACTGAAGAAAATTACGCTTATTTTTAGATGTTGGAGTCTACATTGTGGGACTTTCATTCTAAAGATTAACAGTTGAATGTTTTTTTTAATGAAAATATGATCTTTTACGCGAGCAATCATCAAAATCACTCATGATCAGAACATCCATTTTCAGCCGATTTAGCGGAGAAGCACAAAAATCGATGAAACACCAAAATCGATAATCATTTATCAACTTGTTGATTTTTAATCGCATTTGGCAAATTGATTGATGTTGAACGAAAGCAACAACAGAATAAAAAAAATCACAACTATTATCGATGACGCATGATTAATCGGCGCATGTTCAATGCATTTGAAAAATTGTGCAAAACGTACACGGAATGCAGAAATCGGACGAAAATAGAAAAGTAAAACAGAAACTCGACTAGCCAAACAGTTGAATCTGTTATGGGTCACAAGTTGTATTAAATTTATTTACAAAAACAAGTTGGATGCATTGTATTCATTTATCAGGAAATAGACATTCAGTTCAGACGTCTCAATAACATGCTGAATGACTTACGAACATAAAGTAGTATCATTTATGGCGTATTCAATATTTTGCACGTGATCATATTACAAAAGAGCACTAACTGTAACAATCATAATCGAAACAGCGAAGCAAACGAGAGAAATCGACAAAGAATGCAAGCCGAGAAACGGTAACGATGACAGGAATGAGGCAAAATCAAATAAGCAAAAAAAATAACGAAAAGAAATCGATCGAAATGAAAGATAGAGACAGAAGTTGTTTGTATGGAAAATCTCGTACACCCACACCCCCTGAAAATGAGAGATATGGCAATAAAACATGCCAAGATGTTGAACTGTGTATATAAATCTTCGCATGTTTCTCACATTATTCATTGTTGTTATTTTCGGTGTCTATCAGTGTGTGTGTGTGTGCTTGATATGGTATGAACGCACAACAGACTTTTCTATTCAAAATGCATACTGCTCTCTACACATTTCCGTCGATTTTTCTTTATTTTCATTCTGATTTTCCTTTTGCACATTTATTCGTTTCAATGTTTGTATTCTCCACATGCACATATTGCATTCGGCACAATAAAATTGTACGGAAGAAAGCGAGCGAGAAACAAACATAAACGATACTGTTCGCATTTCACTTATTTCTCAATTGATCTGCATAAAAAATAGAATAATTTTGAGAAGTTTTTGAATTGTTGGACAACATGTTCACAAAGCTACATATATAAACATGGCAAAAAACAAATTCTAACCAAATGGGATGGGAAGATTCACATCTACATAGATCACATTTGAAATTCCCAAATGGAATAAAGAAGCGGTCAATGTGCTTTATGTACAAAAGAAATTGCCTGGCAATAACATTTATTTAAATGATACACAATTACATTCTTTTTTTTGTTCTGAATCGATTCCAAACAAACTCCAATACTAAATTGGCTCTAATTATAATTTAAAAAAAAGGAAACCAATGTCATTTTGCGAAAAGTTTTTGAAGTAAAAAAATTATATTGTGAAAAGGTCAAATGTAACGAGAGACAAACTCACATCAATCACATATGATTAAAGATACATATGTGCGTAAATAAGTTGGCTGTTGTACATTTGAAGATAACCACAACAAAAAAAACCAGAGGACATCATAAAATATAAGATCGATTTTTTTCTTGAAAATATGAAAAAATGGTATGTTTATCAACAATATGCAAAAACGAAAAAACCAAATACAAAATGATGACCATATCGATATATTCATGTCATAGTAAACGGAAACAGAGATATGAAAAGAAACTTATACAATTATAGGTCCCTTTCTCTTTTCTTTCCATATTACAAATTTGGCACAATTCTCAACCATATCTGGTTAAATCGAATAAAAAAAAGGGAAATGAGAAACAACAACAGCAACCGAAGTAAAAAAATAAATGTATCATCAATTGGTTCGAGTCGTATGCAAATAAGGAAGATGCCGATAGACATGCGTAATCAGTAGCAAAAACAAACGACGAAGAATGGAAAAGCGGAAAAATTGTTTCGAATGATGATTGATGTAGACATCAATAAAACGACGGCCAAGAATCGGAATTCCCCCGGGCTACTACTTTAATGAATGATGGGAGATGGACAGAATTAGATCAAAGAATGTAGTGGCATGAGAACGGTGAACGCAGACAGCCATGATGGAGAGAGGAGGGGCAAGAAAGAGAAAAAGGCAAAAATATAGATAAGCAAATCGTTATGATTATATCTTACAGTAAATAAGAATAAACGTATAAATATATGTGTATAATTCCATATTATTTTATGGAGCTTTGTTAGCGGTCTCTTTATAACTTGTTGTTGTCGTGTGTGTGCGTGTGTGAGTTTGAGAATGAGAGAGAGAGAGTCAATTTTTTCTTCTGCATTTTGATTTAACGACCTTCCATTTATATAAATGGTCAATAAAAAAATTACAAATACCCAAACATTTGAGGCATTTGCCGATCCGATGATTCTGTGGGCTTGCACTGTACCCATCAAAAGCTACAATTATTTACATTCACTCGGGAAAATTTCTATGCGATCCTAATCTAATATTTGAGTTTCTATCATAAGTCCGGATGTTTTGAAGGCCAAAAAAATAATGGAATCGAGATGGCGTATACCGATTCACTTTCGCTCACAATGATCGAAAAAAACGGACAAATTTACTTGTGTATACAGATACAGTATATGTTTTGTATGTGTATGTGTGGTGTATTTCACTTAATTTCTCATCAATATAATCGCCGACTCTTCGATAAAATAAATCAACATTACAATGTCGAAGATTGTTGTTTGTAAATTAATTCATTTGAAACTCAATTTCAATCATACCGCGACATCGCTTAGCGAAAAATGTTTTCAAAATTATGCACGTCAATGTTTTCATTATGGAATTAATTAGAATCGTATTACATTGTTGTCTCAATGTTGCACATCCATCGGATTTACAGTCGTTTGCTACATTGAATCATTGAATGTAGCAACATTAAGTAGAGAATGAAAACAAAATAGAATATTTATAGAAATTGGATGAGTTCATTCTTGTTTTTTTTTTCAATTGAAATGGTTAAATTATTATCAGATGCAAATTGTTTTGAACATGTTGTTATCTGTTGTCATTTTGAGTAAAAACATTCTCTAATTATATGCTGTCATCCAAAAAAGTGTATACATTCTTGAGCACACTTTGAATGTATCCAAAAACCTCATGCTGTTACTTGATTTGGCATGTGATTTGGGCTTTGAGCTGTCAAACTATCATTTTAAGTGTGAAAAATCGGGTACCGATACGAATTTTTTCCGGGTACTATAATTGCATTGGTTGTTCAAGAGATAGTAGTGTCGGGGTGAACAATTGAATTTCAACACACTTTACAGAGAGAGAGAGAGAGTCTATCATTTGTAAACTTGAGTTCTATGCAAAATGCGAAATTTTCACGGCCCAACAGCAATCGTAATAGCAATCGTATTGTTATTACTCTCTCCATTGCTTTTGTTGTTACTGTTATTGCTGCGATTATTAATGTTATCGCCTTTGGTCTCTGATGTAAGAGTATAACACTACTAGCAGTGAAAACGGGATAGAGTGAAAGCAAGAGAGAGATAGTGAGAGAGAGGTGCCACCACAATCTTCTACAATAGACAGTTTTGCAGTGGTTTTGAAAGTATCGATAGACTCAGATCCACTCGACCAATCCATAGTGAGTTAAGATTCTTATGCTTTCGAAAACATCTTAACCCAGATGAATTCACACAATGTCTATTCCAGAAGCGTTGAGATTTACGGAATTTCAATTGCAAGTGGTTTGGCCGTGTTGGCAACTACTCTCTTGCACTCCATACATACACATTGCCGAATTTGTCGTACACGGCAAGATTGTACATGAATTAATTTGGCTGCCAACGTTGGCAATCAATACATTTGAAATGGTCCTTGTACAACCTAGATACACTCAAACACACAAACATTTATTCTTGTGTCATCGAAAATAAATTAAGAAACGATTGTGGTGAAAAAATTTCGTTTCTTTTTTTCTCTTCCCTTCGATTAACCGTGTGCTCCCATTCGCTTCATCAAACCAGCGCAATTGAAAATCGAAATCGAACACTAAACACAATCTAATGGTTTAGAAATAATTTCTAGAAAATAGATTTTACCTTATTATCGGTTGGT